GGTGAGTTTTCGAGTATGTTTAGGGCCTCAAAAACGCGTGTCTTTGGCACGAATAATAATAATAATCCGAGCAGTTCCAATAGGGTCTTCGCACCCTTTTGGGTGCTCGGACCCTAATTATTAAGTCACAGTGTGCTTTTAACTACAGGCTGCATCATCTACTGCCTGTCTTGTCTTCAAACAAACTCTTTGCTGCTATCTGGTGGTTTAAATCTGCATTGTGCAAAAAAGAAAAAAAAAACAACAACCTGCATATAACCAAAATACCAGACATATACTACTATTAGTATTTCAAATGTATTGATTTAATTTAGAAATATACTTAAAATAAATAAATAAATAAATCAAGCATTAAATTGATGAGATCGTGCTCTATGATGTGTATCCAAAAGTGAATATTGTGCTTAAAGCCTGCAAAATGAAATGATTTTCTGGAAAATGAATGATATTTTCTGTTATATTTCACTCCTTACTTGCAGGTGTGCCTGTCTTGAGCATCATTTTGTAGTTTTTTTTTTTTATATCTCTTTGTGGTTGTTTTGCATCTCCTTGTAGTCATTTTGTGTCTCTGTCGTTGTGTTTCTGACCAGTTTTGAAATTCTTCTATTTCTCTCTGGTTGTTGTGAATCCTTTAATCAGTTGTTTCTTCTCATAAATGGCTTCAGACAACAACAAATGCCACAACATAACAGTCATTTCAAACAAAAGTTCAATGGTCCTTCCATGGCATTATGGAACGAACATTTTGGAACCTTTTGAGAAAATAAAAATCACACAATTACTCATTTGTATTTTAATTGAAAATATCATACAAGGCATTTTTCATGAACATAAACATGGAGGATACAAATGCACACTGCACAGTAATGTCCACGGTTTCGGCCTTCTGTATAAATAAGCACACGTTTGGCTACCAGTTACTCCACAGCAGTTTTACAATCCATCCTGGTTTATAGCTCAGAGTGACAGTGAGCGCTCTTTTTTAGTTCACAAAACATTTACTATTTATAAATCCTGTTCTGTGCTCTTATGCATTACTGTATAAAAATAAAGGCTCGTCTTGAATACATTTTAATGTTCATAATGTACACTTTTTAAAGAACCCATTCACAAGTTATGACACACCCATCAAAATTATTTTCAACTTTTCTTGGGAAATCTTTGAGTAATGAATGAAAAAAAACCTTTACCTTACCATTACAACTATGTTTTGCTTTTACTGTCTGTACATGATGCTTTAACAGTATGTTTCCCTCAAATGATCCAGTTCAGAATGGCTGTCATCAGAAAGGTCAAATTATTTAGTGCACACACACACACGCAAAAAAAAAGAAAAGAACAAAGATGAGCTCCAGTGTAATGACAATACAGCAGAACAGATCGTCCAAATGATATTCAGTGATTTGTGAGACTTGGACATGGCCAGGATAATGTAAAACCAAAACAATTCAAAGTAATAACTGGACTTCAGTTCTTAACTTTTAGATACCAAATTTCACTTCATGGTATTGAATCTGTCAGTGTGCATGTGGTAGGATCACCGTAGCCATTTGGGTACATTCTTAGAGGAGTTAGTGAGTTTTAGAGTATAGTTCCTCCATCGCAGCGGTTTTCATTCAAGGTATGGCCACATATTTCTCTTTTTTCTAAATAGTTTTTGGGCAAAAAATAGTTTCGTAATACAGCGCCCTCCATAATTATTGGCACGCCTGGTTAAGATGTGTTAAAAGCCTTAAAATAATTTAATTTTTTTATTGCAGAAGCATACTCCCACACTAACCTTCAACTCAACTCAAATGAATTGTTGGCAAAAGGGGGTTGTACAAAGTATTAACATCAAGGGTGCTAATAACTGTGGCACACATGATTTGATGTAAAAGAATTATTTTTTAATGTGGGATTTTTTTCACACTGAATAAATGCACTTGAATTAAAGATTGAATTTTCTTCTTTTTTTCATTGTGGTCCTATATTATTTAGAAAAAACTGAATTAATTAGAAGCTAAAGAACACATCTTAACCAGGGGTGCCAATAATTATGGAGGGCGCTGTATATAAGGTCATTATAGTTTATTAAGCCAAAAATTGAATACAATATTCTTCGCTTCCCTCTCACGAAGAAATGGTTCAAAATCACCAATTAGGCACAACGAGAAAACATCCTCACATTGGTGCCAGAGAGAATGGAATCAGTTTCTTGTCACCATTTCCTCAGAATGTTTCTGACAATCAAACAAGAAACGAGGTTCGTCTAAAAGGCGATTAATCAAAACGTCACGTTGACTTGAACTGTCGCTTTCCCTACTTTCTTTTGCCTACACTAGAAAACAAGCTATAACATAAAAAAAAAAACAACAGCTTGACATAAAGATGAGACACATTACTGTATATCTTTGGTTAAATATCCAGTGTTGCAGGCAAATGTGCTGCCTGAGTCATACAGTATGTTCCCTACAGGCTGCTATGTTGTCTGTCACACATTTACCACAAAATAAATATCGTATTTACAATTTCAGTGCTGCAGGCAACTTTAAATCATTACAACTCATGAGCAGACTTGCGTATTTGCAAAGTCACCAAACTGCAGTTTTTGAATAGTGCTCGATATTATAAGAAGCTTTTGCTAATCTGTGTTTAAAGAATTGAGTGTAAGAGCATTTTATGAGATGAAAACCCGACAGAAGTAGAGCCAAAATAAAGATTAGGACACTACGCTATGCCAAACGTTATCATATATATTATGTGGTCGTTTCTTTTTTCTTCCATAAACCTGCGACACAAATATACTCCTTAATACATACATCTTCATATATTACAGCCACGATTCTTGAGCAACATTCAACCCACTGAACAGTAATGACACAATGTGCTTCAACATGTTTTGGTCTCGATGAGGCGTCCTTCAGGTAGTTTTCCTTGGTACAGACGATGGATTTAGTACAGCGGACTGACATCACCTTTTTGTGAGGCTTGCATCCACGTGAATACCTCCAGTGCTGTTTCAGTTGCTGTTCATGAATGACAGGAGGAAAACACTTGACATCGAAAAAGCTAAATATGAAAAAAACAAACCAAAAAAAAAAAAACATTAGAAATGCATTGATAAAGTAGAAAACAGGATACTGAACAAATATATGAAAATCTATACATAGTTTGCAATGTATACAGTGCATACATGATATAAAAGACTTAAGTATACTTAAAGCAAGTAAACAGAGAGTCTGTTGGCTTGAAAGCAAGCGGCAGTAATTGACCTTTTCATCTACTGTAAATCCTTGCTAAAGCGTTCCCTTTAAAAAAAAAAATCAGCAGCTGACCCTTTGTGAAAGTGTACAGGGACAGTATTTCACTGTTTCTCGTCAGCGCTGGCTGCTGTTAGACCAGAGACCCAGCCTGGTTCTGTGCAGGCACCATGATGGGCACCCCTCCCATGCGGGTGATGTTGGAGGCTGTGATGGTGGAGGTGGGCAGCGGCGGGGGTGAAGGAGCGACCTGGAGCTGCAGCTGTGGCTGGCTGTAGGTCTGTGGCAGTGCCTGGGCCTGGGGCAGCTGGGTGTAGCGCTCCGGCCCGGGTAGGGAGCTCCCGTTGGTGCTGGCCTCGGAGGAGACGGGCGGTCCGCGCGGCAGGGTGCTGTTGTTGTTATAGCTGTAGTGGGTGGGGGTGGAGGCACCGTGCTGGCGGGAGGGTCTGTAGCCAGCCGTGCTGCCGGTGGCGGTGATGATGGACGCGGTGTCTGAAGGGGGGCGCTGGGGGTACTGCTGCAGGTGGTGGTGGTGGTGGTGGTTGTTGTGGTGGTGGTGGTGGTGGGAGGGGTCTTTGTGGTGCGGGCTGGAAGCGATGGAGGACAGGGTGCCGTTCTTGGAGATGATGTCAGAACCCATGCCGCTCTTAGCCCAGGACACTCGCTTGGGAGCCTGAGCGTCCTCCCTGGAAGAGAAGAGGAGGAGGCAAAACCATCAGCCTTCAGTCCACAAGTTGCCCTCTGAACCATCATGGCAGCTTCGTTTCCTGTGTTTGACTGTTTTCCACTGACATTTATGTGCCTTATAGACATCTACTGTAGATGGAGCTAATCACACAACATGCAAAATAATAATAAGAAATATTTAACCCAGTGTAACGTCAAGATAAATACATGGTTAGAGGGAACTGAAAAACATTCTCTCTGACTAAATCTTAACACTAATAACTATCTACACCTGCATGGTCATGTTGATTTGGCTGATACTGAAGAACAAGTCTGAATCTAATGCTTTAAATGTAAAGTTGTAACGAGGGTCTTTCATCTCTTCTTTCTCTGCTGATTAATGGACATCACTGATTCCACAGACAACAAAAAATAATGGCCGTTTCTTAATTAACGTTCAAGCACATTGTGACTGTTTGTTTACACCCCATAGAAATGTTAAAAAGAACTTAAACATCCCGAATGCAGCTCTGACTTATAGTCTGTGCAAGAAATAAATCCTGTCAAATGATGATGGCTGATGTACAAACAGAGCCCTGTGCAGCATCACTTAAATGACTGAATCAGCTCTCATTATTTCTAAGTTGAACAGCAGAGTATTACCTCTAATGAACAATTTAAAAACAAATACTTTAGAAAGACAATGCTGAAAATACAGAGGAGGAACTTGTGTGGGCTGTTATCACTGAACCTACACTGAGCTGAATCAAATGAACATGGATACAAAATGACCCGTGAACACCAGAACTTTCTCAGTTTTGAACCTATGTGCCCATGTGTCTTTCTGCATGTCTGCATTACGGCTCCACGTGGCAAAGAATTAAACAGGAACATGATCCAGGACCAGCTATATATCAGCGGCTACAGCAGTGAGCCAGAGCTGTAGAACAAGCTGTAGCAGCACAAATCAAAACTCCAGCAGCCTCCTACAATGACACCACAGACAGACAGTGCTCTACTTGCACAATGCAGCATTGAAAACCAGATGTGCAAGTGCTTTAGACTTACTACAGAGGTTATTAACGGAAATGGAAATGGAGTTTCAGCGACATCTCAGACACAGCGAAGGACATAATGTCAAACTCTTCCAAGAAAAAAATCTTGTTTTCTCTTTGACGAAAACTGTGAGATGAGTCCAAGCCTGCAGAAGCTTGGCAGAAGAGGAATGTTCCAGCACGATAAGACTACAAAGCACACTTGAAAAAGTGTGAGCCCAGCTTTAGAATGAACCTGATTACTGTAAGGTGACATTATTTCTAATTATGTGACAGTTAAGTGATATTGCACCCGGGTGTGTATGTGTGTGTGTGTCTATATATATATATGCGTATCTCACTTTTGGGTCCTACACACAGGACCTTATATATGTCATTCTGCCTGAGCACTAGTTCAGCTGTAAAACCATCAATTTAGGTCATTTTCTACGGATGGGACAGTTCAGTCACTGGCAGAGGACAAATCCTTCATACAGTAAGATTCTTTATAAAATGCTGCCTTGATTTAAAGCACATGAACTCACTTGATTTCGTTTGCCATGTCATCCTCATTGTCTCTCCGCCGCTTCACCAGGAAAACGAGGCAGATGAGGAGGAGGAAGATGAAGCCGATCACTGAGCCCACTACGGCACCAACAATCATCCCCACGTTAGTGGCTGGAATCAAGGACACACAGAGATCATTATGTTATTAAAGTTCATAGCTCTATGCAGCATGGACACTGGGGAGTGGAATCTGTGTTGAATGAGGAAGGGTCATGAACAAAATGAACAACAACAAACAAGTGCGTCTCTCCTGATTGTATATATATGGTGCTTGTGTTGCTACATACAGGTGACGATCTCCAGGTCGATGATGCAGCTCTCTGACCCGGCTGTGTTGCTTGCTGTGCACACGTACTTCCCTGACATGTTGCTGCTCAGGTTGCTCAGCTTCAGAGTCCCGGTCTTCTCATCTAAAACAGCAGCGAACACAGAGGCATGCATACACATTATTCCCTGGCTAGATATATAAAAAGACAGATGGAAATACAGACATGCACACAACAACACAAAATCAGACTCCACATACATTTATTGGATTAATACTTTGGACTTAAAACATTATGAAAATACTATAAGTTATGGAGGGCTATGAGGAAGGCTGTACATGTTTAAGCTCTGTGTTTTTGATTTTGCCTTTTACAGATTTCCATTGCAGATTTAAATTGGACAAAAGAGAGAAAGAAAAAACCTAAGCAGTTATGGAGAGTACCACTGATAAAGCAGCTAAATCAGAACAATCACTGAGATTCCTTTAATTCAGGGGTGGGCAGTCCTGTCCTCGAGGGCCACAGTCCTGCATGTTTTAGATGTTTCCTTCTTCCAACACACCTGATTCAAATGATCAGCTCATCATCAAGCTCTGCAGAAGCCTGATAATGATCCTGATCATGTGAATCAGGTGCGTTGGAAGAGGGAAACATCTAAAACATGCAGGACTGTGGCCCTCGAGGACCAGGATTGCCCACTCCTGCTTTAATTCATGTAGCTAGAAAACATTTACCCCGATCACACATGTACAAAGTGTTATTTCAGACAAATGTGAGAGCTGCAGCAGATCCGTCAATCTATCTGTTAGTCAGTTTAGAGAAAATATATCTGCAGCGCTTATTAACTAAGCATCCATTTGGTCCTTACAAGGTAGAACGCTAAATAGCTGATGGATTTTAAGTTCTCAAATTTGATCATGCACTGATTGTTCTTGTTTTACATCACAGAAAGACTTTTGCTGTTACAAAATAATGCATCACATGTTGTCACACTGGGTTGCAGTAAATTGCAAAAGTACAATTATTGTTATTTGCAGCCCCATTTAAAACACAGAAATGATTCTACACGCCATTTTCTTATGATAACTAACTAAGGAAAACAGTTACTGTGAATGCAGACAATGTGGCTGAAGCTCATTATGCAAACGCTTTAGAACAAATTTTAGGATTAAAAAAACAAACAAAAAAAACCCAGTAAAAACACAAACATAGTTTATTTTTCCCTTTTCCATTATCTTTGTTTTTCATTTTCTAACATTTCATTGTTATCAACTATGGCTGCTTTATGTATTTTTTTAACTTTGCATCTGTATTTTATTGTACTTTGCTGGTTGCTCCATTTATTAAGGCCTTTTTCTGAATTGCATCCATGTTTTATGTTGTTTCCTTAAACACAGCGTTCCTTCATCCACTCTAGTAACAAACAAGTTTAGTACAGTGTCTGGTAGTGAATGTTTATAGCCTCAGAACAGTCCAGTATTATAAGCAACAGCAATTTAGTTATGGGCTTTAATTGCAATAGATTAGCTTTGCTGTCCTAAAAAAAAGAAGAAAAAAGAACACAAATAACAAATATTTCAGAAGAAGACAATGCAGACTTCTTGCACCAACATCTGCAAATACATACTAGTGGAACTCAGATAAGCTCAGTGCATCTAAAACTAAAGAGACACACTCTTTGTGTCCACTCACTGAGCATGGGGGAGAAGAAGACCTCCGAGGTGGGACTGGTTTTCCTCCACTTGTACATCGGGATGGGTTTCCCAGAGCCAGACGTACAGCTCAGAGTCACGTTTCCCTTCAGCACCGGCTTCCCTGACAGAGAGCACTTAGGAACAGCAGGAGGGACTGTGAGGAGAGGAGAGGAACATCTTTATTATGTTCGCTTTTACACCATAATGTAGACGGAGTGTAGCTGCAGACAAGGTGAAGCAAACTGCATTTTGTCTCACCCTTAACGTCCAGACTGAGCTCAGCAGTGAGTCCAGGGTTATCAGGAAAGATGACCTGACAGAGGTAGCGTCCTGAGTCAGACTCCTTGGTGTTGTTGATGTACAGCGACACGTTTGTTGAGGGCATTTGGTTGGCAAAACCCACACGTCCTGTGAACTGGGAGGGGCCCACGTTCATGGAGCCTTTGGTATAGGAGATGATCTGTAGAGGAGCACAACAAGAAACCCAGGAGGCTTCAGATTCATACCTGAATATGTTTTTTTTTTCCAGTTTCATAAATACACACGCAGTCTGAGAACGAGTATTTGCATGACAGAGGAAACTGTTTCATCGGGTTTGGCGGTTTTGCTGGGTCAAGAGTCAGAGGGATTTGTGATCCCAACATCTCTTGCCCGGAAAATTGTGATTGTTTGCCATTTGTCTAACATTTGTCGAAATGCATTACAAAGTAAACTGAGTTATGTGAACACAATTTGATTCCACTGACAAAGTCACATTTTTGGTCCATTTCCATTAGCCAAAGAGCTGCTCAAATGCAATCTGTGGATTTGTTGGGTTTCTTCCCATAATATGATATTATAAGGTCCTGACCTTACTCTGTGAAGTGCCCCGAGATGATTTAGGTTGCAAACTGGTACTATATAAATAAAGATTGGATTGAAATCAATTAAATTAAAGTAATTCCCTTTAAAGTGTGACTGAAACTGGAATTAACAGGAATTGATTGTACTTATTTGTGCTGTTGGAAAAAACTCGGCTCTGTCTGCTAGTTTGCCTGTTAAATCTTAGGCTCCTCTTTGAAATATACATCTAAAAACACCCACAATCAGTCAGTAATGAATCCACAACCGTAAGGCCAAACTCAACAACCTTGGGCTTATGGTTCAGAGACACTTACAATACAGTCTCCATGTCCTGATCACCAGGCCAAACAACAAAACAACACTGGGTAAGGCTGGAAGGGGAAAACTGGATTTCTGACCTACTGCTTGTATATGCAGAGTCACAATAATGAAAACAAAACAAAACTGGTCATCGCGTTATCAGATTACCCCGGTACCTGGGATTCTCTGGGTAATCCGGTTGCTTACGTGCATGGTTGAGGCCAGTGCAGATCCAGAGAGGGTAAACTTCCGTGCTGAGTCAGTACAGCTGTTCTCAGGTGCATGTAGGATTATTAGGTGAGGCTGGAGAGTCATGAATGACTTTCTCCATATTACTGGATGTATACGTCAGTGAGTAGAAGCAGTAATATTATTTTATTACTATATGATATGAAATTCTTAAGCACATGGGGGAGAAGTCGTAAATTGGTGGCATCATTTATCTAAGGACAGCTGCTGGGTGCTGGGTGGGATGTTGGTTAAAGGTGAGACTGCATAGTCGTCTGTCTCTGTGTTAACCCTGTGATGACCCGCCGACATGTCCAGGCTGTACCCGCCTCTCAGACTCCAGCCCCCCCAGGGACCCCCACGGTGTAGAAAATAGACGGATGGATGGACAGTTAATGCGTTTATCTGACTTTATCTGCATGGCTGTGAACCAAGCACATGGCTGTACATCGCTGTAACAGACACACAGAACTCCCTACAGAGACCGTGTCAGCCAGCGTTTGGCTTCGCGGTGTTCTTTTAATTCATCTTTTTGGCTACGAATAGCAGCAAAGCAGAGTGAGACACTCAGGAAAAAATAAAAAAAACCTTTTAATCAACTGTGTCTTTTGCAGCTCTCTGAGTTCTCGTCCCCCCTGTTTTCTGTTTGATCCTCTTTTTGGGTCACCCATCTGCACAGCCCAATAATCTGACCTAGGCACATACATAAGCCGGGCCACAGCCAGGTCACTAGATGATGTGTAAAACAACAACAACAACAACAAAACCCAAACCAAAACAGTGCGGGGCTTGAAGAGGGCCGAGTGCGGCAGCTTCATTTAATGCGTCATCACAACAATGATTTCATAAAAAAAATTGATGTGGAAGAACATTTTCTTCTTGCAGGACTTTCAAAGCCCAGAAAAAAACGCACACTAACACACACACGTACTAATAAACAAAATGAATCTGCACTGTACATTTCATATACCTTCTAAAAGCTTTAAGCCTTTTTTGGCTTGGATTAATTTCTAAGGGTTTACAAAGTAAGAGCTTTGCCAGATTAACAGCATAAGAACAGGCAAGCATCCCTTCACTGTAATCCCAGATATTGTCGCCACAGATGGTAAAGTAAAAAGATTTTGCTGCAGGGCAGATGCAGTACCAACGAGAGGAACGACACTACAGGTGAACATTTCTAACTGGAGAGTTCATCAACTAGTTCACTTGAGTGCCCTAATTTGTATTTGTAGAACAGAAATCCAAACATTGGATGAAGTCATGTATATATACAAACAGCCAGAAAAAAATTATTTACTCCACGTTTAAGGAATAAAATGTTCTACAAATCAGGCTGTGACTGATATATGAACAAACCTTCTGTGAAAACTTGTATGTGCTGCTGCAACAAGATTCATGGAACAAACTCATTTTGTCTACTCATCCATCCATCCATTATCAATACACCACTTAATCCTCACTAGGGTCACGGCGAGGCTGGAGTCTATCCCAGCTGACTCAGGGTGAAGTCAGGGGACACGTGGACAGGTCACCAGTCTATCACAGGGCTACACTTAGAGACAGACAACCAAGCACACTCACATTCACACCTACGGACAATTTAGAATCACCAATTAACCTCAACATGTTTTTGGACCCGGAGAGAACCCATGCTGCACGGGGAAGACACGGAGACTCCATGCAGAAAGATCCCGGGCATCCTCACCGGCAACCTTCTTGCTGTGAGGCAACGGTGCTAACCACCGACCCACCTTGCAGCCCTCATTTTGTCCATCTAAAGATAATTTATGATACAATTCAATGTTTTTTTTTATAGGAAACCACCATTTATGGGCAAAAGGTTTAACTAACAGATATCAGTTGGACACCTCATCCACTGAATACTTCACATTAATACAATAATTTTTTGTTTTGTAAAATTCTATGTTCAAATATGTAAGTGGGATTTAACTGGATCTCATTAAATGCCTTCTAATTTCCTTAACAGACAAACTGTAGACAAATAAACACCTAACTGTGTATTTTTGTACATTTTCTTTTCAGGAGTCTGAAACAACACGTTATAGAAAACATTCCCAAATCTTAAACTGACCAGTGCATGAGAAAATGATGGTGAGGATTAAGCAGTGTAAAGATAATGGATGGATGGATGGATGGATGGATGGATGGATGGATGGATAGATGGATGGATAGATGGATGAATGGATGGATGGATGGATGGATGGATGGATGGATGGATGGATGGATAGATGGATGGATGGATGGATGGATGGATGGATGGATGGATGGATGGGTTGATAGAATTTTCCCTTACCAGCTGGCTGCTGTCTGAGACGAAGTTCCAGACGATGATGTTGGCGCCGGGGTCAGTGCCACCGACTGGGCTGTATGAGGCCTCCAGAACCACCGTCTTACCCTCGATCACTTCAATACTGTTTTTGGGCATCTGGAGCTGGGCCCATATGCCTGGAAGAAAGAAAAACATATACTGTCATAAATCTGATCCTATTTTGTCATAGTACTCAATGTAAAATGTTCAGAAACTGTATTTATAACAATAAGGCTACAGAAGGACACATGTAGAAACTCCTAAAAGCCCATTTCTCACTCTATGCAAGTAGATCTGAAACAATTACTTGACTTTGTACTATTTTTCATCACAAATACTATATTTACATATGGATAATGGATATTTACATACTGGGTGACAGAGCTGAACTGTGGGGCTCATTGTCAGGGCAAATGTAGTGTGCATGTATGTCCAGAGAGGGGCAGCAGAGAGCCAGAACCCATCTGCTACTCACCCACAGACATATAGTCTGTGGGCACAAATAAGATAAGTGTCTGTTTATATTTACTTATATTTATTGGTTGTATCTACTTTATGATCATTTCTTGTGTTAAAAACATTAATTACGTTCTTTCAGGTCCACAATCGCTGTGTGGCTGTGTGTATAAGACAGGGACTGTGAATAATCAGCGGCTGACTGTGCGTAATTTGATGTTTACTGTAATTAAAGGTTTTCTCAAAGGAATGTTAGCCCCTCCTTTGGTTGGAAATGACTTTGAATCATGTTATGAGTCAACAGAATGTGTACATCTCCCTTTACTGTGTGTCCACCCCAGAAGTGATAACAGAGAAAATCAGACATAGTAAAAAACAACAACTCTACAGCAGGACACACAGCAGAGCAGCTGTTTGGTTTGTTTCCAGATTCTTCTTCTCCAACACTGTCCATCCCTCACACAGCCTCTCTGCCTGTGTTCTTTCTTTCTTTTTCATCTCTAACCTCCCTGCCGCTCCTGTCCAGAGGAGAAGAGTGAGGTCAGAGAGGTGTATTTCAGTCTCTACCTCTCAGATGATATTCCTTTTAACCAAGCCAACACTGAGAAAAGGTGAAACTTATTCATTTTTGATCATTCACATTGCTGCCAGCTCCGGAGTGTGTTTGGTTGGGAGTGTGTGTTCAGTGGAAACACGGCAGGTACGTGCACATTTTTAAAAATTAATCGACTTCCTGCGTGTGTTTGAGTGACATGCGAACATACGAGACAAAAAGGTAGAAATGCAGCTAATGACAACCACTTACATCGACTACACTGCATTCAAAAACATCTTTACACACACATATAACTGTGTTAGCCTGTGCGGCACTGTGGTCTATTCCTGCTAATTAGCACCATTGTTTGGGTGCCACAGTTGTCCTTCACAAAACTATTTCTCAAAGCAAACTGAAAGCAATCAAATGCAAGTCCAAACTCAAATCCCCAAATGTTCCCCCACAAGTCAGCCAATCGCTGAACCTCTTCACTACCTCTGTACCGGCTGGACACTACAAAGAAGAAACTCGGTCTGCTAATACGGCGGCACACGACTTTTGGATATTGAAATCCTCAGTACTCCAACGGCTGCCTCGGGCTTGCTGCCATTCACAGCCACCAGCTTGAAAGTCACAATGAAACTGCAATTCAGAAGTGTGCTGCACATTTAATCTGCGATTGTGTCACTCTCCTGTATGCATTCCCAATAACTGAACGGCGACCCCCTGGGGGCAGCAAAAACAAGCTGTAGACACAACACAGTCAAAGACGTATTTGTTGATAGTAATGAATGAATGTCTTTGATGATTTAAACATACAGATTGGTGGCAGTGTCAGCCATGGATGAATAAAGCAAAAAAGCCAAACAAGCTCATTTTCACTGTGGTCCTCCAAATATACCAAACAGCGTGAGCATCGAAAATACATACAACAGTGTAGAACGACTTACAGGTTCTGGGATCACTTCATCATGTAAAGAGGATTATTAGGGAGACTTTCCATGGGAACTATGAGCTCTGATGATTTCCTTGGTAGGAAATTTACATACATAGCAGTGGCAGACCCACAATAAAATTACAAATATTTTACTTTTTTTGGTCTCTACCAACTGATTAGCAAAATATCCGACTCTCTACTTGCTAAATGCCCCACCACATTCACCAACTAGGTTCTTGAGCCTTTTCTTTGTGAAGTACCAGACAGCTAAACGAGGAGAAACTCACCATAAAGCTACAGGGGAGCTGCGGATTCAGCCAATTACGTTCTCTGTATGCTCTTCATTTCAGGTGACCCCTTCCACACAATATTTTGGATGGCTGCATTCATATTAAATCAGCATATCACTGTGAGCTTGTAACATTTAACAATAAGCTTGACAATTTTAGAAATGAGTTCAAACAATCCAGTGTTTCCTATACTATTAAGAAAGAGATCAATTAAAAGATTAAATCCAGAAAGAATGAATTACTTGGTTTTATTTCTAATCTAGGCCTCTGCAGTTGTAATTTGTACAGGTGAAATTGGAACTCCCACAATGCACCATGTAAAGGGATCTCTGCAGAGAGGAGGTGGAGGGATCAGTTTCTCTGTCACTGGGGCGATGGAGTAGATATGTGACAGTGACGAGCGAGTGTGAGAAAACGTGTGGGCTACGCTCATCGGAGAGCACTGCTTCTAATTAAGAGTCCGACTAATGAAATCACGAGGCTGCAGATGGAAGTAAAGGAAGGACGGACGTATTTGCAGAGAAGAAGGTGAGAGGAGAAAGAAAGGACAGGGGATGGCAAACAAGAAGAAGCGACTCATTGTGTCAATTGCTCTTTAGACCCTAAGAAGATTTGCCGTAGCAGTGAGAGGCAGGCCCGTTGTCTGCAGAGGTGCTGACTGATGGATGGATGGCGGGATCAGTGGACATGTAGAGATGACAGAAAGAGGCTTAAACATAAACGCAATGAGTCACTGTGGAGCAGCTCACTGATGATTGCTTTAAGCTTGTAACCGACTCCACGGAGAGGCTGCTGTAAGTCAGAGAGAGGGATGAATGGATGGATGTACGAACAAAAAATATGAATCTCTGGGACGAGGAAGATACTGTGAAACACACAACTACCAACCTGTATTCCAAAGGCTGAGGCAGCAACGTGATTGTTTGCGTGAATGTTTGCAATGACGGCTCACTGAATATTTGGGATGTCTTCCTATCTACAGTATGTTTTGTCCATAGTTCACCAAGAAGGTAGGAAAAAACAGCAATGGATTAGCTGTTTGGGAAACATTGACCCTGTTCAAATCTTTGGAGAAGAAAGCTAAGCAAAGATGAGCATGTCCTAGCTGTAGGCTCATGCTTCAAGCCAGGACATAAAAAAAGAGCTCCATCCATGCATTTTCTGATACGTAACTAGAGTTAAGTCACCAGGCAGCATGCTAAACAAACTGATCCATCATGTTTTGGGTTGACCTTCTCTGACCACTTAGATGTGCTCTAAAAACGTCCAGAAAATCACCCAGGATACATCTTGATGCCACCACACCCCATGAAGGAAACACATTTCAGCAGCTTGTATTTGCAATTTATCTATGTATTATTTTCCATTTATTTCTTACGTTGATGTTATCAAGGTTGCTTTGTGTGTGTGACCTTCTTAATGCACCAGTCAGGAGCAGCACTCTGAATCTCATTGTATTTTACAGCATACAATGATAATAATAAAGGCTTTCTATTCCACTTAATTCTTTTCTTTTCTACACTGATTTATTCTTTTTTTCAGTCACGACCCAAAGCTTGTGCTTAGTGCTATAATGTTGATTAACCTGGAGATCTAAAGCTTCGCCCTCCACTTCAGCTCCTTCTTTGCCTCACCAATCTACCTTTCTGTCTCACTCTCCATGTGAAGACCCAATACTTCAGCTCTTTCATGTAGGGCAGCAACTCACTCCCAAGCCAGAGGAAGCAATCCGTTGTTGACCAGCAGAGAGCCGTGGCATCAGACTTTAAGGTGCTGACCATCAATCCAACCTCTTCACTCCGCCTCAAACTGCCCTAAAGCATGGTGCCTGATTGATGAAAGCCAACAGAACCGCATTGTCTGCAAAAAGGTACTTCTTAGGTCTCCAAACCTGGCTCTCTCTTCCCCCAAGTTCACCTCGACATCCTCCCTGTGAGGTTCACAAGCACAACTGGTGGCATAAGATATCCCCGACAAAGGCCAACACCGTGTTTTTTGTCGGGAATACGTACAGAGCTTTGGTTCTAGTTACACAAGGACCGGAGGGTAAGGAAACATAAAAGCATTTGTCACATTTTCTAACTATTCCTTTCTTTGTTAGCTCAGGAGGGCTTAAGAGGTTCAGCTGTTGCTGGTGACTCTGGATTTAGATGCAGTGTTGACTCACTATTGTAGCCTTGTTGTTCTTCAACTCAAATCTTTTGCGGTGTGTAGAGATGTCACAGGAAGCGGAACCTCACTACCGAGTCAATACCAAAGTTCTGAAAACATGACAGAAGCTGTTCAGAGGCTCAGAAAAATCTGACAAAAACTCACATCAAAGTCCTCACAAGGAAACCGGATGAGTGAGTTCAACACCACACTACTATTTGCTATACATACATGACGATGCATTCCACTGTTTCTTGCAATGGTAAGATTTGTTTAACATATTTATTACACCCTCGCTATTTTTTATTTAAATCCTTATTTTCATATATCAGGGAGACGTGAAATGGCAACATAAAACTATTTTACATTTATTGGCACAATATTGTAATAATCATATTTAAATAACACTAATGTCGTTGTTAAAGGCTCCATCTAAGCTTTTTTCTATTTTTTTTTCCCCCAGTTGCTATTGAAATACATTAATTTAATTGCTTTATTTTTTCTTGTGGTATCGAATGCAGTTGGTACCACCTCCAAATATCTGGTGTGATGACATCCTTTGTAGTGTACACAAGACTTCCCAGCAGGGATCACCCAGACAGTAGCATTTTATTGGGGGGAAAATGGGCCAAATCCTCAGCTTCTCATTAGTGTGGATGGGCTGCTCTTTATGATTTAGGGAGGTTTTTTTTTTTTTTTCCTTTAAAAATCTTGCCAAGTGCTGCTTTAAGAAGATTTCCTGACAGAAATCCTCCATGATTCCAATGA